ATAGAAAAATCGATAAAATATTATTTTCTATATGTCAATTTATAAAAATAGATTTTCTTAAATCTTTCTATAAGAAATTAATATAGCTCGTTAAAGGCTTTTGGTATAATCGAAGTATTTATTTTATATTTAACTTTAATTTAAAACAAATTAATAATTCTCGATTAATATCTAAATGAAGAATTAGCTTTTTTCTTCAATAGTAAATATATTTAAATTCTATTCAAAACAAAATCATATTTTCTCTTTATCATTAATAAATAGATTAAAATAATTTAAATTAAATAAATATTGTTTTTTGTCTGTTGATGTTTTAAGTATTTAATATGATAATTAATATAGTTTAAATAGTATAATGTGAAAAAAATTAAAAAAAAGAAAACGAAATTTGTTTTTTTAAGAAAAAGAGATAAGAAATAAGAAATAAGAAATAAGAAATAAGAAATAAATTAAAATTATTTTTAATAAATATATATATATATATATATTTAGAGAAAGAGATTGAAAATAAAATATATTATTATTAGAAATAAATCAATATTAATTTAATATTAAAAATAAATTTATTTTTATTTAATTAAATAAATAAATAAAATAATTTAGATGTAATGATGTTCAAGAATTAACATCAATAATAAGTCAATTTAATGATTTATCTGCAACAGCTCGTGTTGGTGGTACATTAACAAGTACAATGGATGCAATGCTTGCTGATATTCAATTAAAATCTTCAAAATCTCTTGAAATATTTCATAATCAATGTCCAAATTTTTCTCATTTAATGGATAATGATCGTTTTGATCTAGCATTTTTTCGTTTAAGAACAGAATTAAAACATTTTGAACATGAATTAGCATGGATATTACGACAATGTTTTTCACGTGCAACAACACTTTCAAGTAAATTAACATTATTAAATGTTTTTTATGGTGCATATCAAAGAGAAGTTGTTCAACGTGCACTTATACATGAACAACAATGGATTATTGATAATCTTAAACAAGAATTTCAATTAGTTGCTCAATTAGTTAATTCATCTAATATGAATTATTTACATTGGCCACCATTATCAAGACAATTACTTTATTTATATGGTCTTAAACAAAGAATTGATTTATTTATGAATCAATTTATTGAACTTTGTCCAAAAATAGTTCAAAGTGATATTGGATGGGAAATTCGAGAAGCTTATAGAATTGCTAAAGATAAAATTCAACGGTTATTTTCATTGGATTTATTTTTTCATTAATTAGAAATAATTTTATTTGTTTAGAAGTGAAGATGATCTTTACAATAAATTAGAACAATCAGCAACAAGTCAAATAAGTGATCTATTACTTCAACCTGTTTTTGTATGTACCTTATTTTTTTTTAACAATATTATATTTAATTTAATTTAAAAGACTAAAAGAGAGATATTAACAAAACACAAAAAAGATTTAAGGTGCATCCAATGCAAAATTCAAGCAAAATTTTGTTTTTGTTTTTAAATACATCATTGGATAGAACAAGTGACGGCGATCACGAATATCTGGTTTAAAACTTTTCTAGATGCTGTCTTGAGTCCAGAAAACCAGAAAAACTTTCGGCTTCTGAAAAACCACTTTTTTCAGTGGTTTTCCGTAAAATGCGATTTTGAGACCCAAGACATCATCTATTTAATTTAAAAAGGACATATTCTTGTTCAGCGTGAAA